GCTAAAGCTAACAGGCTAAGCTGAGGTTTTTCATGAAGCAGCTCTGTTGTCCTCCATCTATATTTTCGATTACAGGCTGAGTCGTTTCTACCTTCTCCTCTCTGTCAACGCTCTCTGGTTTCATTTAAAAGAGTCGATCATCAGATATTGTCCAAGATTAACCTTCAGGGTGGATATAGCTTGCTCACACTGAGAACCTATCCACGTCATCATTTACCCAGAATGCTTTGCGTGTAAATAAAATTGCTCTGTCCATGTTAAAATATATTTTTAAAAATTTACTAAACTAAACAGCCTATTTTTACAGTCTTTATTTTACAGTTAAAATACATGTTGTTCCAACTAATCATGGATCCCTTTAAATCTTGGAGGGCCTGAAGTTAGGCACAGCACACTGAGGGCATCCTGAGGTGTCAAAAAAACCAAACAGGGCTTCCTTACATCGCCCCGACTGCCCTCTAGCTAAAGATTTGGAATAAAGTGAACCACCAGCTTCTGACTGACATCACTTCAGTACGTTTCTCTCACAACAGACTGGTTTGCAGGCAGTCAGAGGTACACGCAAAAGCTTGAGGGAAAGGCATGTAACAACACTCTGCATACTGAGATAATATTGTTTCATCACTGTTCAGAYGGTACAACTGTGTCCCCATTTTCTCTGACACAGCATGATGCCAYAAACTGCTCAAAGATACAGCTTTGCCTGGCTGTTGACCAGTGATGTGTCGCTGGCTTCATTTCTTTCCTCCTTTTCCTTATCTTATATAAAAAATGTTTCCTGAACACATAAAATAGTTTTTCTTGTTTCTCAACTGTTTTTTTAAGCTTGCAAGTTTATGTCATGGGAGCTGCTTCAAGACCTGATAACGTTCAATGCTGAATAAATAAGAAAAGGAAAATCTCAAAGTCAGCTTTTAGTTTTCAGCAGAAAAAAACAACACTTTCTGATTGCCAGTAGTTATGCAGAAATGTCTCCTGTGTGCTGAATGTCATTGATGCAGAATCACAAGCAGCAGTGAATCTTCTAAACAATGGTGGGCTTTACTCCTCCAGAGCCTGAACAATACCTCATGACATAGCATCGTGACATACTGGATTTCTTACGGTATGTGTGCAGAACTGGCTCAATGGGTCAGCAAAGAGGGAAAACCTCCAATCAGGCAAAAAATAAATTAAAAATGCCTTTGGCAATCTTTTAATTTAAAGCAGGGGTGGGCAATCCTGGTCCTTGAGGGCCACAGCCCTGCAGGTTTTATGATTTTCCCTGCTCCAACACACCTGATTCAGACATTGAATTACCAAGTTCTGCAGTATGGAGGACCGACACTGACATAACCATAGCTGTCTGTCTGTCTGTATGTATATATA